ACGCAAAATTTTTGTATGCACATCTTCCTCCCTATGCACCTTCTCTCCCTACGTGCCTTCCTTTCTACCTCCATACCTTTCTTATTGCACGCCTTCTCTCCCTGCACACCTTTTTTTCTCTCTACCCGCCTGCACTCCCACTGTGCGCCCGATCGATTTTGACTGCAGACAGAGTTCACTGATTCCAATGAAGCGTTTGTACCTCCAGTAAAATAGATATTGATTTCGCTCTTCTTGCTTCAAAGTTTATACACATCCACACCATATGAGTACACACACTTGGGACAGGTAAATTTAAAATGATGCACATGGGTTTCACAAGCTTTGCACACATGGCCGCAACCACCACCAACAATCTCTCTCTCTCCCTCTCCCTCTCTCGCAATCTGTCTGAACATTCTCCCTCACTGTAACTACCGCTATCACCTTCAACAATGGTTCTCCGCCCAGTCAACGATCTTCCTTGCATCGCATCGCTCTCACGCCACTAGTCTTGGGCACACAACAACATGGATCGGAGAAGAGGAAGATCCTGGTTGCAGCTTCCAGCGCCCTCCTAGCTTGTGTGCTCAGACCTGTCGGGCCTTGCATCTGCCAACAAAAATGCGAATCGTCCAAGGCCCTTCCTGGGACCGAGCTGCAACTTCGCCAAGACTCGACACGTGGTGGATCTCTACCTGTTTACCTGGGACTTCTACCGCTCCTTGAGGCCTTATCCAATAGAATCTCTTTTCGGATCCCCCCAGAAATTTCTACATTCAGCCCTATGATATCGAAGGTCATAGGACATTGTGCCAGGGCCCGACATGTGAAGTGTGTGGCCAAGGATGTGACGTGTCCTGCTGACAAGGGGGCTAGTTGGTAAGACGGAAATAGGGCACAGCTGCGATGGAGATGGTGGCTCCACCGTGATAAGCCTTGCCGGAGTGGAGATTAGGGGTAGGGTTTAGGTGATCTGGCTATGTCGAGCACCATGGGGCCAAATATTTCAAAACCTTGGTTGCGGTGGTGGTGTTCAGCGGATCGTCCGACTGCAGGGTTCGCCATCATATCCACAAGTTTAAGGTTGGCCGATTCCAAAACGACGCTGGCCAGAGTTGGGGTTTGGTTGCCCTGCCCTGTAACCTGAGTTATGAAAAGGTTAAGAGGCCTGGTAATGAGATCTGGGGAACTATCAAGGGTGGAAGGCAGTCCGTGGTTAACCGCGAGCTGCTACTAAGGCGAGTCGGGTCGGAGCTGGGGTGGGTCGCGCCGCCCTGTAACCCAGTGGTTGGACGCATGAGCCTGTTAGAGCTTGGTATCTAGGATAGGGGAGGGTTGAGGCAGCTGTAGTCTGATTGGTTGAATGGCACTGGGGTAACGTTGTTTTGATTACATCGGCTTCCAAAAGAAATATTCTAATTGGTTCTCAATTTTCACAAACACTTTTGTTGTTATCGGTTGCTTTTGGCAGTTTTGAGAATGCTTTAGGATTCTGGGTACTTCTCCTACTCACTTTAGATGCGAGAACTACTCTGGCCGGTGCTGGGGGTTGCCCTGTAACCTGTTGATAACAGGAGCGTGAGACCTGGTACAGAGATCTGGGGATGCCTCGGGGCGGGCATTCCGAAGGAAAAACAAGGGTTGCTGTCGGGACGACGCTGGCCGGAGCTGGGGTGAGTCATGTTGCCCTGTAACCTAGCAGGGTGGGTGAGTCATGTTGCCCTGTAACCTAGCAGGGTGGGGGCACGAGGCCTGGGAGAGCTCGGCAGGGAATAACACAGTGTTTGAGAATTTTAGAGGGTTTTGTTAGGGATTCCAAGGGTTCAGAGCATTCGAAGGACTTCTGTTGCTTTCCTTTTCGACGTAGTAATTGCTGCTTCAGTAGCCTAGCAATAGGTCAGCAGTTATCCATGTTTTTCCTAAATTTTCCTGAACTCACCGAACCCGGGTTATGGCCCTGGTATTTCAAATGACTCGTACGCTGGGCCTGGTTCGCAGCAAGTGCTGCTCCCCACAAATGGACTGGAGCATTTGTCTCCTTCCAAAAAGAAAAAARAAAAAAAAAAAAGAAAAAAAAAAAGAAAAAAAAAAGATTCGGATCGTCTGGGGCCTTTCCTAGGACTGAGCTGCTACTTCACCAGGACTTGACCACGGAGAAAATGGAATCGTTTCTATCCAGGTCAACTGAGAGGACCCCAGCCTCAATTTGAATTTGTAAGGTATGTTGGGGCCGATTCCCAACTCGTGCAGCCCGCCACGAATAGAAAGGAACATTTGTTGTTCTTAAAAAAAGAAGTGTTCAGATTCAGCGAGTGCTGTCCCAACTCTAATAAGCTGTGCTGAATAGAAACAGAGATCGCTACCTGCAATACCCTCCCTGCTGCACTGCGTGTCCTCGATATGTAGGCATGGAGATTACAGACCTGCAGCAGAATTCAGTCTCCCTTCCAGGTACACCCGTGACTCTACTACCTGTATGACATGCTATCAGTCTCACTACCGATACACTGCACTGTTCATTACACAGACACTTGTCAATGCGGCTGCGCAACTACACAAGGCACCAGGCACAATGCTGGCAGAAGAAATCATTTGTGCCCCCGACAGGAATCTGTTTACATTGCAGCTGATCTGCATCAGGTGTCTGCTCTTACCAGCGCCTCTAGCAAACCCGGGTTCTGTTTAAAAAATAATAGTAATACAAAAAAAAATCTGCATCAGAGAATCGGCACCCCGATTGGCAAAATCCATCCCAAAACGGCAACCCTTATTTTCTGTATTCGGTAGTCAATGTTTTTTACTTCCAGAGGCAGAATTAAGCCCGTGTTGAGCCATCTGGGTTGTCACTTTAAATGGGCCCAGTATGGCTGCGGACTTCCAGGGTTCAAAAACATCACCAAAATGATGTTTGTGCATCGTCAAACTCGTACACCTGGTATTGTACGGGTCTACGGAGGGAGCGTAGAAGAGTCTGATAGCCGCTCAGAGGCGGCCTCTGCCAGTCGCAAAAATCAACATGGCTCCTGCACGAAGCCGCCAGTACACAGCACCGGCCTTGTAGAAATTTGTTCCTGGCCTACTAACACAATGGCTGACGGCGAGCCAGCCAAAAACGAAAAAAGTGCGGCACTGGCGGTTTCGAAAAGCTTGGCACACACTGCAGTGCCTCAAGGCCCTGGAGTACTGATGAAGCACAAATCGAAAATCAGAGCAGGGCAACTCGCCCTGCACACTCGGCAAAGTACCCATCCAGGGTACTGGCGTGACTCGCAAGTAGGAGCTTATTGTGCTCATGGAGATCTCCACATCCAGGGTCTTTTTCGAGACTTCGTGCAAATCTGGGCCATCCGGCGGGTAAAAGTAGAGGGGGGGGGGGCGGGGGCACGGTAATACAGAGATCACACAGATGCTGCTGCTGCTGCCGCTGCTCTGGGTGCTGCTGCTCCAGCAGCTGCTGGTGCTGGTGCAGCCGCAAGACATGCTGCTCCAGTTCTGGTACCAGATTTACTGCATGCTACGCTGTTCCCATTCTGGTTCCATATCAGTTTCTACTACAGAATCTCGTTCCCTATGCGGTTCTGGTACAGAAACGAGAGCTAGTGCAGCAGCAGAGGTGGCCGAACAAGATCCAGCAGAATCCGTACCAGAACCATGAGCGGAGACTACCCAAACCAGAACCAAAACCGGATACGGAACCAGAACAGGACAGCAACAACAGTGGCACCTCCACTTCCAGCTCCAGCTCTGCTTCCCATTCTGGTACACAACCTCGTTCAAGTTCTGCTGCTGCTGCTGCTGCCAGTGCTACTGCAAGAGCCAGAGGCAGCACCAGAGACGCCAACGGTTTCTAGTCTGAGCTGCAGACCACATACTTTTTCTGGACCACGCTATATAGCGTGCACAACTAGAAATTCTCTATTTAGAGCATATTTCTCGACCATTTCTCGATTTTGGTGCCATCCTTCCGCAGGGGCCATGCTATGTGTATCGTTCCAATTTTGCCCCTTTTTTTTTCCCGAAGGACAGAACCAGAGAGTCTCTACGGTTCTGCAGCTGCTCAGCATACAGAAAGTTTAGAACAAGGACCGGATCCAGATCACCGCCAGACTCGAGTTTTCGAGACAGATAGATCCAGTTCTCGTTCCGGAACCTAATTGGAACGCAAGCACAGCAGCGGAGCAGGATCAGAAACGGCAGCACCAGATCTGGAGCCAGCACCATATCAAGAATCGGACGAGCTGGCTGCTGGCTGCTGCAGCAGAGCCACTTTCAGCAGCAGCAGCAGCACAACTTGACCGGGAGCCAGAACCAGGTCCACACCTAACACAACTGCAGCCGGGTCTGGATCCGGAACAAAAACCAGACCTGGAGCCAGAACCGGGAACAGATCCGGATCTGTTTCTGGCTGCAGACACACTTCTAGTTCCGCCTCTGATTTGGGATCCGGGTCTGGTTCTGAATCCAGTTCTGGTTCTCGTCCCGGACACAGATCCGGTACCAGAACAACAGGAACCAGAACCAGCTCAGGTTCTGGTTGCAGCTGGCAATGGAACCAAATTCAGTACCAGAACCAGAACAACACAAGAAATGGATCTGCAACCAGAACCAGGAAAAGCACAAGTACATGTGAACAGGAACAGAGGAAGAAGAACAATAGAAAGAAGAACGGTAACAACCAAAAAAAAAACAAAAAAAAAAAAAAAAAAAAAAAAAAAAACAGAGCTATGAATTTCGGATTTCCAAAAGGCACGGGAGAAGAAGAGGTATGAAAATCCAAAATCTACTTTCACCCATCATCCTCCTTGCACGTCTTTTTTTACTGAAATGAGATATCAACACTTGATTGCAATTCCACAGAACATCGCAATTGATCAGTCACATCTGAGAAACAGTTGATGAAACCAGAAAAGGTGATGATGAAGAATTGAAGGCCCTGCCTCCCTGAGCAGCGTGCGCATTCGCTTCACAAAACCGTGCAGTGAACAGAAAGTCTTTACTCGCTATGGCTGCACTCTGATTCTCGTCGGGCAGTGCTGAAAGCAGCGCGCACCCCTCTAGTACAAATGAAGTCTGAACGAGGGTTTACCCCAACCTGTCACATGAAGCAGCAGCTACCTGCCTAGGCCTACAGTGTCTGTCCACTCAAAGAAAAGCCTGAATCTCCCACCAGCCGACAAGATCCTACCGCTATGCTAGGCAAACAGAGACCATACACGCAGGTCCCAGGTTCAAAACGTTCAGGGCGGAGGGAGAGAAACAAACCACTGTACTTTGCCGGTCTCAGTTTAAAATCCCGGCAAGAACAAAACTCAAAAATGAGTAAATAATTGGGCAGGTTGTGGGTTCAAATCCCACAATCCTCCACGAGTAGTAGTTGAGGGTAACGGGTACGGGAGACGGTGAGACAATGGGGAAACAGAGACAAGACGAGGGACGAGGGAGAGAGCAAAATGATGACAGGGAAAGGGAGATGACAGGACAAGGGGGCAAGCAAAATGGGAAAAGAAATTGCAGGCAGCTAGAGGGCTAAGGAGATAAGAAACGATTGGGAAAGGAAGACGGGCAGACAATGAGCGAGGGAATATGGGGGAAGAGGCATGCTTACACAAAGGGCATTGGGGGAAGAGGCAGGCTTACACAAAGGGCATTCCGCAATTTTCGTGGTAGAGGCAACTTCATTGAACTTGGGGTCGCCTGTGTTACTTAAGGATCTTCGTTTTAAATGTTCACTGTTGAGTATAATTCTCCTGTTAACGAAGAATAGTTAGAAAACCATGATAATATGTTAAACACAGCCCGCATTGGCAGGAGATATCACAACGGCATCTGGAGTAACAGAAGTCTCCAAAGTTCCAAAGTCGACTTGCATTTAACTCGTTCGAGCTTATTTATCCTTTAATGATCGATGACCTGCGATGCCATGCATGAAATCTTGCCTTACCCAGCTTAAACTACAAACAACCCCGGGTGCTTTGGGGGGTTCCACTCCTAAAGAGAAAAGAGAGACGGGGAGAGACGAAGAGAGAGAGAGAGAGAGAGAGAGAGAGAGAGAGAGAGAGAGAGAGAGAGAGAGAGAGAGAGAGAGAGAGAGAACGTTCGTAGTGCAACGGACAGCACAGAACGTAAGCCAGAGTCAGCAGCACATGACGCCAANAGAGAGAGAGAGAGAGAGAGAGAGAGAGAGAGAGAGAGAGAGAGAGAGAGAGAGAGAGAGAGAGAGAGAGAACGTTCACAGTGCAACGGACAGCACATAACGTAAGCCAGAGTCAGCAGCACATGACGCCAACCGATGCGTTAGGTACCCTATCGAAACCCCATATGAACCAGATATAAAAGGAAGACATAAAAACACAAACGAAAACCAGATGTAAAAGGAAGATATAATAACACAAACGAAAAACTGAAAGGTAGGACGACGTAATACCAGATGTAATAGCCAGAGTCAGCAGCACAAGAAGAGCAAAGAGATCGAGAAGAGGGTATGAGGTTAGGATCAGACGTGACGACAACAAGGAATGAGAAAAAAGCAAGCCAGAGGGGCGGGGAGACAAGAACAGATCAAAATTGCTGGCAACTAAGACAGCCGTAAGAACTAAAATCCCTTCAGGAGGGGAGCAAATCAACAACGAACAGATCAAAATTGCTGGCAATTAAGACAGCCGAAAGAACTAAAATCCCTTCAGGAGGGAGCAAAACAACAAATATACCATCATCTTTTCTAGAATGACAAGGGAAATTATGTCTTCGATAACGTTTATTGATTTGACGCACATTTTAGTCTTCGAGAAACGGGCGGAAGATTCGGGAAGATTGAGGAAGGATTCACGACCGCAGACTACACGACTAAGTCCTGGTGTAGAAGCCAATGGAAACCACTACGAAAGATGAAACGACGCAAGACGGACGACGGAGCGAAGGACCTCCGTACAACAGTAGTTCCTCACACACAGTATGAGAAAAGGAACCGATGATGACAAGAACGATCTGACGATCAGACGGTCATCACTAGCTTGAGAAGCCAGTCAGAAACATCTCCAACCGTAGCCTGGCCCAGATTCCACATTTCCATTGATTTCTGAGTTGTGATCTCCTCCAATTGTTGCAACCGCAAGCCCTTCTCATCGCCCAACCCCTCCAGCTTGCTCCGGAATTCTTCCTCTTTCTTTGCTCTGTACAGAGCCATCTCCTTTTCCGCCTCTTCTTTTGCCAGCTTCAGCTTCTGCTGTCTGGCAGCCTGGAAGACAAAACACCGCAAATGTCAGACACTGGGCAATTTTTCGGCCATAAAATTACCCTAACTTACAAACGACGGTTCTTCACTGCCAGAAATTAATTGACACTCCACACACACGCGCCCCTATACGGACACGTATTTGTCCCTGCACAGTCCACACACACACACACACATTGTTTCACTGCCCTCAACTCTCTCTCTCTCTCTCTCTCTCTCTCTCTCTCTCTCTCTCTCTCACACACACACACAGACACATACAAACGGGCCCCTCTCTCTCTCTCTCTCTCTCTCTCTCTCTCTCTCTCTCTCTCTCTCTCTCTCTCTCACACACACACACACACACACACGCACACATACTAACGGGCCCCTATACGCACACGTATTGGTTCACCGCCCACAACTCTATCTCACGCACGCAGGCGCACACGTGTTGGTTCATCGCCCTCAACTCTATCTCACGCACGCAGGTGCGCACACAAACAGACGTTTGCCAGCTTAAGTTCACACTTCTCGCCTCCCCCTCTCAGGCGCGCAGAGTCGTTCGCCCGCCAGAATCATGTTCGCCCTACTCCCCTGCCCGGCCGATGTCAATCGGCCATTTTCGCTTTCCACCAAAGCAGTTAAACACATGTCACACTACATATTGTCATACAACAATTGACTGCAGAGCATATTGTCATACAACAATTGACTGCAGAGCACAGAGAAAAAGGGCATAGAGTAGAGGGAACAAAAACAGTACTCCTTTCAATCTTCGTCCCTTTGCCTTTTCTTCCTCTACTCGACTGCAGAGCACAGAGAAAAAGGGCATAGAGTAGAGAGAACAAAAACAGTACTCCTTTCAATCTTTGTCCCTTTGCCTTTTCTTCTTTTACTTCCACTTTACTCGTTTTTCCGCTGCGAACCGTAGCGCCCACATCCGTTTTGCTCACCGAAAGCACAACAGGAGAATAAAATCAATGATCAGAATGACGTGGGCGGCAACGAGGATATGAACGATACGGCTGGTGCGGCGGACGACAACGCATCCCACAGAGCTCTCAGTGACGTCACCGCGAGGGCTCGCATGATCCTTCGTCGAACCTTCATCGAACCTTCGTCGAACACAATCCTGACAAATAGCGTGCCGCACGCACGGACACGAGTGGGTTTACAGACCACAGGCAACCACGGATCTCAGCGCAACGTCCCTCGCGGGAAAACGGGTATATGCTATCTCAACGTAGGTGCAAAGGATGCACACACTGAAAAGAGTAGCAGTCCGGTAGATACATGAACGATGAGAGGCTGCGATGGCGTCCACATGCAGAAATAACTCTGCCTATGCCCCCAAGTGTTTGTTTCTAAAGTTAATCTCAATCAATCAGGATTGCACGGTATTCCCCCCCAACCCCCTCCTTTCTCTCCCTGGACCCTTTTCCACGGTATTCCCCCCCCCCCCCTTCCTTTCTCTCCCCGGACCCTTTTCCATCCTGGTTTTACGAGATCAACGGCCTAAGCGGCTCTCCTGCTTCCACTGTCACTACCCATCTCTCGCTTCTGGTCCCCTGTCATCATACCCCGCCTTCTCAGCAGCCTCGCACCCCATTCCCGACCCTACCGCCTACGTCTCTTTCGCCTCCTCTCCCTCCCCCATGCATCCTCGCTTTCGACACGACCTGAATACGGCCACACCTGATAGTCCGCCACCCCATTCCCGACCCTACCGCCTACGTGTCTCTTTCGCCTCCTCTCCCTCCCCCATGCATCCTYCCTTTCGACACGACCTGAGTACGGCCACACCTGATAGTCCGCCACCCCATTCCCGACCCTACCGCCTACGTCTCTTTCGCCTCCTCTCCCTCCCCCATGCATCCTCCCTTTCGACACGACCAGAGTACGGCCACACCTGATAGTCCGCTCTAGGCAGGGCGATGATAGTCAGACATCTACCACTCCGGTCGTGAACTTGCAACATCATCACCCACCATGGATCAACTCCACGAGTCAGGTAACGATAGCCCTCGGGGAAAATTGCGTTAAGGATAGCCTTCGATATACGAAAGACTTGAAGACAGGCGACGGTAGCATAAAAATTATAATACTGTAGTACGGCCTCCGCAGATGCACGCATCAGTCGTTTACTAATTACCGCTCGCATCATCATCGCCCAAGCATGAACACCCTCAGCATCAGCATCATTTTCATCGTTCTCGTCATTATCGTCATCATCGCCATCATCATTGCCACAGCCATCATCACCATCGTCATTGCCACAGCCATCATCATCAACATCATAATTGCTACAGCCATCACCATCATCATTATTGACACATCCATCATCACTATCATCTTCAGTATTTCGGTTATCATCATCGCCGGCGTTATCTATTATAACCCGCCCGTTGAGTACTCTGGCTGATTCATACGAAAATCGTCCCTACAGAGCTCCGACCAGCTAACCAAATTCCACCTCGCGCGCAAATTCCAGAACGAAGAAAAGAGTCCATCCATATATAAGTAAATTCTCTTAATAACCCCCCACTTCACCCTACAGGAAAGAGAGAGTAATACAAACCGAACGCTTAGATAGAGAATTAGGGCCAAGGAATCCAGTACAAATAAGCAAGACCACGAACAGGGAGGTAGCCACGCTATACGTGAGAATCTCGAATTGATCACATGTCACGACAAAGATTGGGCAAAACATTGGGCAAACACACAAGCTCCAGAGATCTAAAAAAAAATAAAAAAGATTGGGCAAAACATTGGGCAAACACACAAGCTCCAGAGATCTAAAAAACAAACAGTACATTTAAAACGAAACATACTAGTATGTATTAGACAAGGGAAACATAACTCTTTCAAGAATAGAGGACAACGACATTACTCCACAGCAGGAGAGGAGGTCGGACAATTATGGAAGGGCAGATGCAATGAACATTAAGGAATGAGGACAAGTGCTGTGTACCAGACAAAGCCTAGACGTAGACAGAACGGAAGAAAACGTAGACCTGGTGAGCTGAGGGCAAAGTGTACACGTGGCAGTATATGAGAAAAGCAGGAATGCGTCCACCTTGGTAGATGGCTTAGGTGACAGTCAAGAAACAGACGGGACAATAGTTAAATTTGGCGTGAGAGAAAGAGCGAGGGAGAGGAACAGAGGAGGCAGCGGCAAGAGAGCAACATATGAGAAAGTATTTAAAGCACAGAAAAAATCGACACAACTGTACTACCGTGTTCACCCGAATAGAACGCCCGGTCATTATAGCTGTATTTGATGCATTTTTCAGAGAAAAAATCGACACAACTGTACTACCGTTTTCACCCGAATAGAACGCCCGGTCATTATAGCTGTATTCGATGCATTTTTCAGTCCAGATACGGCCATGATTACCGGGCGGTCTATCCGGGTGAAGACGGTAGCCTGGAGATGGAGACCAGCAAGAAAAAGTGAGACGTTGGTAACAGGTGGAGGGGGCATACATAGAGATACATCAGGGGCAAAAAAAAGATGTCGACAAAAAAGAAAAGGACCCGCATAAAGAGAACCATACACAACGAAACGAAAAATAAAGAGGGGGAAGACACAAGAAGGGCGAGAGAGAGGGAAAGACAGTGTGTGCGTGAGAGAGACAGAGACACAGGGACACAGAGAGAGAGAGAGAGAGAGAGAGAGAGAGAGAGAGAGAGAGAGAGAGAGAGAGAGAGAGAGAGAGAGAGAGAGGAGAGAGAGAGTACCCTGGCTCGTGAGACAATCCCTTGCGCCTCTTCCTCGGCAGCAAGCAGAGAATGAATTGGGGACGTGGAGCTCGACATGTTTATCGGCTATGGAAGTTAGGGCCCGCGATGCGGAGGGGAGAAACAGAAAATCAACTCGATCGTACAGCAGCTGCACGACGCCTAGCAAGCGAGGCGCACGCGGAGGGCTCGCCACCGGTGACAACAAGGAGATCGAATTAAAACACCCACACACCGGCTCCGTCTATGTAGCCTCCTCCAGAGTGAAGAACCGTCGCGTTCGTGCGCCCTACGTCTAGCTCTCCACAACCCACCCCCGTACTTGGAACTGTTGCCTCCTCCTTCGACAGATCCGGCCCCGATTGCGCGCCCTACCTTCGGTAGCTCTCCGCAACCCGGCGCTTGAATTGTTGCCAATTTCGACAAACTGGACAGATCCCGCGTTCATGCGCCCTGGCTCTCCACAACCCGCGCCATAATGTGCCCTGCCAGACTAATGGAAGAGGGAAGGTGGAAGAGGGGACACTGGCATTGATTGTGCAACGAGCAATAATACCGCGGCAAACCCGGTAGCGCGGCGGGGGTCTCGGCCCACATGCACCCCTGTAGGGTTGTTTTTTGGTTTTGTTTTGTTTTGTTTTTCACCCCTGTAGTTTAGTTTTTGCTACTACCTGTACCTTTGTGGGACCACTGCGAACCGTACATCACATCACGAACGGACGGCGGATTACACATCCTGCCTTTTCGGAGGGGGAGCCAGAGGCCTACGTTTTGTGATTGGTTCGGGCGTCCTGTTGGGGTCATGTTGGGAAGGGAGGGATAGGTACAGGCATTGTAGAGTTCATGTGTTTTATTTTTGTTTTTTGGAAAGTTTGTCTGGCGCCCCTGTAAGTTCCATAATTTTGCGTCGCGCCCCTCCGAGGGACCACTTACCCTGTCGTGCCCCTGGGGTCTCTGAACTGTCCTGCATGCCCCTGTCCGCAAGGGGCGCGGAAACGGTGCCCTTATTGTACGGCCAGTCCCATTTCAGCGGTCCCTGCGCGATATGCCCTCATTAGTCACATAAATCTTTCCATCATGCCCTTACTGTGTGGCTGCGAAACTATAAATTTCCGCTGTATCCATCCTACAGCGAAACTATGAATGCGATGCTCAAGCCCTTTGGGTAAATCTTTCCCTCACGCCCTTACTGTGTGGCTACGAAACTATTGACTTCCTATTTGTGGCTGCCTTATCCATCCTTTGGTTCCCTCTGACAGTCTGCCTGATGGGAGAGGTGGCCTGAAGAGACGTGCGCTCGGCGGCAGCCAGGTATCTGTGGAAGCCTGACGCCGGCAAAGACCAGGGGTATATCACGAAGATGGCTTGGGACGCGGTAGCCTTCCCAAAGTCTCAGGGTGACCTGGGCGTGCTGGACCCACAACGACAGAACCTGGCTCTGCTGGCCAAATGGGTAGTCAAAGGTTGTTTTGATAACCCTTCCAAGATATAGATCAGACTACCATCTTCCCCCCAACATAAGGCATACGCATTGTAAACGAATACAACGCATACCATGCATTGTATTCGTTTACAACGCATATGCGTTATGTTCCAGTGAACGAGACCAACTTTACATGCACAAGGGGGCTTCTAAAAAAAAAAAAAAAAAAAAAAAAAAAAAAAAAAAAAAAAAAAAAAAAAGCACAAGGGGGTCGGGTCCAGGCTGAGTAGGCTCAGTTCAAGACCACGGATGGGGGCCTCAGAGCCTTAACAAAAAGGTAAAAGTAAAGTAGCGATGTACCTTTCCATGTTCTGGGTTGAGTTTCATTGCTTTCCCCTACTTGGGCCCTTGCTCCACTCCGCAGCAAATGTGCAAAATGCGAATGAATCTTCGATTAGATCGTGGACAAATACAACCCCTTTCTTTTTTGTCTCAGTCCCCATGGTAGTGCAGCGAGACCTTGGTGAGTGGCTTTCTTATTTTTCCACTTTCTTGGTCGCACCACATTCTTGGTTGTCAGAAGCGCCTTCCCGCACAGAGAGAGAGAGGGAGAGAGAGAGGGAGAGAGAGAGGGAGAGAGAGAGGGAGAGAGAGAGGGAGAGAGAGAGAGAGAGAGAGCCCTGCAACGCGTGTAAGTGACCTCGAGGGCAGTTTCTTGCCTGAACAAGAGCAACGGGGCCACAAAGAGAGAGAGAGAGAGAGAGAGAGAGAGAGAGAGAGAGAGAGAGCACGGACAGTGATTTGTGATTACGGGCCTGCATGGGTCTATCCCGTTCACCAGGGCAAAAACGGAGCAGACGTCGACCTTTGGGGGGGGGGGGGGAAGGATATATTCAAATACAACAATTTTATCTTCGTGAAATTCAAATATAACGCATATGCGTATTATTCGAATAAAACATGTATGCGTTATATTCGAAGTGTCCTTGTATTCGAAGAAAAGGGTCTAACTTTCGGAAAACCGTTTTTTTTGGAAAACTCGAATACAACGCATATGCGTTATGTTCGGGGGAAGATGGTAGTGTAATATATATTTTGCAAAGAATGGGACATATCTGCCCCAAGAGATATTTTTCTAGCTTCCGTCATAGGCAGATCAAATCACGGGTGTGGAAGGGCATTATTACTGCCTGGAAGACAATATGTCCTACATACGAGGTTGAGCCTTCCGCCAAATGGGAAATAGCAGAGCAACCGCTGTTTGCCAATAATTGGATTCGCCAACCTAATGAAAATCCCCTCTCAGTCAAGGAGGGCAGAGAAAATTTTTGGCGGACCTGAATGGAAAAGGGGGTATTGAGAGTTAGACATATCTGGGATAAGGAGAAGGAGGACTGGGTCTCAAAAGACTATCTGCGTTTGGCCCTCCCAAGACTACGGAATATCATGCTCACTTGGTCAACCCAAAAGAGGTTATTCCGCTGAAATGGAGGAATAAATTGAAAGCAGAAATTGAAAATAGAAGGGATACATGAGTGGAGTCTTTGGAAGTAGCAGACCTCGTGTGGAAGGTGATGGGCCCAGATCTGAACTCCGGTGTGAAGGTGCAAGAATGACAAGTGCTGCATACCAGAAGGGAGAAGAACATGTTGCATTTTATGGAGGAGAAAACGATGGTATCAACCTCAGAAGGAGTGAAGCTTAGGGTAAACTGCTACAAAAAAATGCCCCTTCTGTTAGGAGAAGCCAGAAGATTATCAGTCGGCCCACTGAGCTGCTCTTGGGCTCAAGGAGATACGTCGGAGGAATCTTGTTGGCCACTGGTGGAGTATAAACCCAAAATAAGTATGAGACACCTACAAAGGGAAGTCGCACACACTCCTGGTCAACTCGCACAGTCCAGATATGAACAGATGAAAGGTCAAGGGATACCCCAACCAGACTGGATGAAACCATTGGCTACCCTGCGTTGTATCCCGGCTAAAAAATCAGCAAGCCTGTTGTGGTTACAAGCACTACAAGTAATACCATATGCGACTTGGCTCAACACCAGAGGAATGAAGCTGCCAGAAACATGTATCAAATACAAGTGGGGATGGGAGTCTAATGCCCATCGATGGGTGCACTGTCCACTAGCGGACGAAGTATAGCAATGGTGGGTCAAGCAATGGCAAAAGTTAATAGGGACCGAGTTTCCATTGACTGATGACTGGGTGTTATATGGTGTACTTCTTAGACTAAATCTCCAGTACGAGAAGGGTCTGGGCTATGTGGCTTTGGTCTGCCATGAGGTAATCATGCAGACAATATGGCAGGTCAGGAACACAACAATCTTTCAGAAAGAAATAACTTCGTTGCAATAACTAGTGCCTAAGATTAGGGTCAATATCTGACTTATAGTACTTGGAGATTGGAGGGGCCGATAGTGATTTTATGAGGTTTGGGCTTGACAGAATAAGTTGTTATCAATATCCTCAGAGGATCGGATTGTTTTCGGCGACTACATGTGGAAAGCTTAAGGGTTGTTTTGACCAGTTGTTGCACTTTGTCATGCTCTGTCAGCTCAGGCTCTTAGAGCTCACTTTACTTATGCTTCAAAGTTCAATTTTGGAAATTTTTTTACGTTGGGACGCTAGACCCGGTTTTCAACAGCTATTATGATAAGGTTTACACAGTTGGGAGTAGCGATTTTTACTCATAAGCTAAACTGGCTGAGGCTGCCAAGATACCCCCGGGTTGAATTGTGAGGTCCCCGTCCCCGTCCCAATGAATTTGTTATAAATTGGTAAACTTAAAAAAAAAAAAAAAAAAATCAAATTTCAAACACGTGGTTTTTGTGGTGCTGCCGCAAAAAATGATGGTGTGTATGTGTGTGTGTGTGTGTGTGTGTGTGTGTGTGTGTGTGTGTGTGTGTGTGTGTGTGAGAGAGAGAGAGAGAGAGAGTGGCTGCCATGCTCATAGCCATAGAGGTGCATTGAAAAGATGCACTCTCCCGATAGGGGCATATAGAATGTTTTTGTGTTGGTATTCAACAACTATCCAGTAGGGGCATACTACAAATTTGGAACGGGTACCGGTAGGGGCATAACAAAACTATTTCAGGTCCAACCGACACCGATGTTTTATGGGAAATTTAAATCGTGGTCAGAGGGGCGTGACAGGGTAAATCGGGCGTGGGAGGGGCGCGACGCACAATAATGGAAATTATAGGGGCGCCAGATAAATTTTCCCGTATTTTTTGGGGGGGGGGTGTAAAGTATCGTACAAAGGATCTCTTCCATAAGTTCAGATATATACCAAAGAGCCTTGTTGAACCCTCATTGGAAATCCAATTTTTAGGAAATCAGCGTCGTTACACCACGTCCTAATTCTCCAAATTCCTTGCATGAATGTGAAAACTCTCTCGAGAGATTTCCTTAGGTTCCTCGGAATCCCGAACCAAAACATCGTTGGATACAAGGGGTCCTTGCGAGGTCCTTTGTGTTAAAGGAGTCGCGATTGACGGAGTGTTCTGGAGCGAGCGCCGACAGGAGAATTTTGAGTCGATGTTGGTGCACAAGTCGTTCGTGGTCCATTGGACGGACATTGCCGGCCTCCAGTACCCGACGGGCCCCCAACGACCGTTCTCAAAGCATACAGGAACAACGAACGGTGAGGAAGATGACTATGGACTGACGCGCGCCATTGACTACTCCACTCCAGAACCGGCGGTCAGGGTGCATCATGCAGGTCCGTATAAACCGACTTTGTATAGTCGTCTCCCGCCTCACGAGCAACCGTTACTGTCGGATCCTGAAGAGGAACGGGTGGATGATCTGCCCCGCACTCTGCCTCTGGGGAGCGGATCAACGTATGACTGGATGGGGATCCATTGTAGACAACGGTAGCAAAGACAAGTCGGCATTCGTTTCTTCTATACTAGAGGATGGTATCGGTGGAGGCGATACAAAGATTGTAGAATTGAATTTTGGCTTGTCAAGCGGGAGCGTTGCAGCAGCTACACACACTCGTACTTTCAACCCATTGCCTA